GAACAATAATGCTGTAAAGGGATAATTACCCTCAGAAATCCAGTCTAAAAAACCCCTCCCTGTGACCCTTAATGACCTGGAGGACAAGTCCCCACGGAGTCGGGGTGCTCACTCCACAGCCTGCACGGGGTCCTGTCTTCTCTGTCCCCACTTGCCTGCCCTCAGATCAGATCTGAAGAAATGCAGTTGTTTTGCCCCTGTTTTCACATCAGGTCCGCAGGAACCCAACTACCAAAACCAAACATTTAAAAGTGAATAAAAACACAAGCCACCAGGATAAGTCAGCGACTGAGTGGGTGAGGGCAGACGTGTGGCAGGGTGATTCGGGCAGCATACCCTCGTGTGCCTGTGCCTTCTCCACTAGTAGTGCCACCAAAGAAGCAGAAGAGGCAGTGAGAAGTTCTGATGGTCTCCAGAGAGTGACTTAACTAGAAATCCAAAATGATCGTGTTGGAAGCCATGGTGGAGGTCAGTCCCAATCTCCTAATTTTACAAATGAGAAAGCCGGTCTAGTGAGGTGAAGGGGCTTCTCTAAAACTGTGAGCAGTAAAGCTTGATTTAGAGTCGTAACCTTCTGCCTTCATGCCTGCTGTTCTCTTCTCTGTTTGCCGGGAAGTGGCGTGGCATCCTCAAGTGTGGGGGGACCCCAGGTGGCCCTGACCCCAGCGGAGTGGGTTTGGCCGTGACTTTATCGTCCCCAAATTCCCTGCCTATTATGTGCAAGGTGGAGGATGCCCTTTGACTCACTGATTTGTAGGGGACATGTCCGAACTGGAGAAAGGCAGAGTCACTAACGCCTTAGCCATTTGGGTAATTTCCCTAGGGGTTGGTGGCAGGGGGCGGTCCACTGCCCAGAGAAAATGAGCCAGTTAGTGAACAAGTAGCTTATTCATTAAGTGAGCAATACTTGCTGAACCTATTGCAGGTTCTCAATAAATATGTGTTTTATTGATGAATGGAAGGTTTCCAAGTTGGATTTATTGCTGCTGCTCTGGCAGCATTTCCAGGTAGTAAAATCTGGTTCACGTTTAGAGCAGTATCAGTCCCTTTGAAAGCTCTCGTGGATGTGTGGCCCCTCATTGAGTTTAAGCTCCAGCTGCTCTGGGGGGACTGGCACTGGCCTCGGAAGGGAAGAGCTAGGATTGCAATGTTTTCCTGCACTGTTTTTAACGCTGTTTTCTCTTTGTAGGTTTTGAAGATGACACACCACTCAGTTGCTTTTCCTCTGGCGGCAGACTAGCGGGTGGCAGAGTATGACACAAGTTTGATGTTTGTGTCTGCTTCCCCAAGGTCAAGAAATTATCTCCTTAGAAGGCAACAGTACTATGCATGTTATGAATTGTGTCTCCTTGGTCGGTGATAAAGAAAATGGGACTCTTGCCCCGGCAGCTGGATTCATGATCGGGCAAACACCACCACCACCCCCTCCGCCTCCACCCCCTCCGCCTCCTCCATGTCCGTTCTTGGGGGAAGGGTTCGGTTCCGTCCTCCTCCTCCTCACACACACACACACACTCACACACCGTCCGCCGCCGCCGCCGCCGTCCGCCTCCGCCGCCGCCGCCGACGCCGCGACG